GATGATTATGAGAGATTCCACGTTCATCATTGCATTACAACAATTTTAATGTTCTCTTCCTTTTCTTAATACCAATATCGAAAATGTTTCCAAATCCTTAAATCTTTGAACACATGACTTTGAAAATAATAATAAATTTTATGTCTAGGCCTTAAAATCCAATCCTAAGATAAAATAAACCAAAGTACGTGTATCAGGGTGACAACAGTTACCTGAAAGATAACAAGTGAGCTCTAAAATCAAAAACATCAAGAGGATCAATGCTGGGGCTATGTGCGTGCATGCCTGTAGTACCCAGCTAACTCGGGGAGGCTGAGCGAGAGGATGCTTGAAGCCACAGGAAGTTCAAAGGCTGCAGTGAGCTATGACGGTGCCACTGCACTCAACAGCTTCTAAAAAAGAAAATAAAAGAAAGGGGCGAAAAGAAAATATCAAGTCATTCATTTGCTAACTGCTTTTGGAGTGGTCTCCACAGCCCACTTGCCAAACAGTACAAGACTGAGGTAGTAGAGGCAGCTAAGCACTGAAGAATGTAAACTCAAAGTCAGACTGAAATGGGTCACCAGTCTACCATCTAGCTAGATGGGTTGACAAGCAATATGTTATTTCTTTATTGTTCCTTCATGTATAGACTAAATATGGTGTATACCGTGAGACATTTCCCTGCTTTTTAAAATCACAAATAAAAGTGTAACGACTATGTTCATTTTGAACGACATAAACAACACCATAAATATATGTATTTACCCCTGATTCCTACTCATTCATTTTCTCTCCTCTACAACACAACACAACAAACACACACACAAAACACACAACAACACACACATCCCCACTCTCATCCAAGTTCCCACTTTCGACTTTCCCACTATTCCAGGCACACAGGCTCCATGCCCAACGTCCTTCCTCCTTCCCCAAACCGGATCCTGGACGGGAGGGGTGGGAGTATGAGAGAAGAGCTTTCATCTAGATCCCCAGGATCTCTTCATATCCGCTCTAGTTTACTAGTCTCAAACCATGTATGCCAGGATGCCTTCCTCAGAGGAGTGACAGACTTGACAGAACAGAGCTATTGGCATCAGAAAGAGCTCTGTCACTTCCCCACCATCTAATATGGCCCCAGCCAAAGATGCACTTAGCCTCTTTAGAAGCCTCATTTTCCATCATCTATAAAATGAGAATAAACCAGTTTGCACGGGATATATACCAATGGACTACAAATCGAAGTCGCTTGCACCGAAAAGCTGTCCACACACCATACTGCGATGGACCCATCTTTGGGAGATCTTTGTTTTACTCAAAAGCTGTCAGTTTTTCACTCTGGCCAAGGACTGGAGGCCAAGATCATCCCCATGTACAGCTACAGACTTACTAATCAATCTGGGACATATTATCAATAGCTTGGAAATAAAAGTGGGCACCTATTAACATTGGGAAACCGGAAAATCTCCAAAACAGCAAACCATTGAAGAGACAAAACCAAAAAAACATGACTCAACTCTTTAAAAGCTGTCCTCGGTTCCTCCTGTGAGTTGTTTAAAGATTCACGCTTGTCTTTGCTAGGGATATACCTCCACAAAAAAATGTCAGTAATGCCCGAGGCTATAGCATATGGTATGCATAAATAAGAAGAGAGATAGCAGATTACTGAAAATAGTATTTCGATCGTTGAGAGTATCTATTCTCCGTCTTTGGAGATATTATATTGTAGGCGACGTGAAGCGAGAGGGACAGGTAGAGAAGGGATAGTAATGTTGAGGAAGAGAAGAGTAGGGATCAAAAAATAGGAGACTGGGTATGGATCAGCTGAAATTCGTAGCGCAAAGTGTACGGGAGCACAACCATAGATAAGAAGCAGTATCAATGATGTGTGTGTGTACCGCCTCTACATTGCCTCTCCCACTCAGGAAATCTGGATCGAGCAGAGTAGAGGCTTCAAGAGGTGAACAGACAAAGATCAGCACAGAAATCTACGGCGTTCGAATGTATTGAGCATACGCGTCCAGGTGTGTGTGTCTGTATAGAATGAAGACCTGACTCACACTTGTGTTAAAGCGTGTCTGAACGGCGTGTGGTGGCTCACCGATAATCACTGTGTGTATATGTTCTGTTGTTGTCGAGCGTGGACTCATACTCAGTACAGGAGTCGGAGCACGCCGCCTGGGCCAACATGGTGAAACCCCATCATCTAAACTAAAAGATGAACAAAATATTAGCTGGGAATATGAAGGCAGAGCGCCTGTTAATCTCAGCTTACGTCGGAGGCTAGAGGCAGGAGATTGGCATCAGAACCCAGGGGGGGAGGTTGCAGTTGAGCTGAGATTGCGCATCACTACTACTCCCAGCCTGGGTGACGAGAGTAAGCACTCGATCTCAGAACGCAAACAGAAAAAAGGTGGTCAATGCAAAACCAGGTTTTAAGGTAGCTAGCTCAAAATGTCTGCTAAAATTCTTTCATGCCTGTGCCTGTTTCAAATTCCCAAGTAGCATTTCCTGTTTCTGAGTAGAACTTGTTCTCCTGTTTATTTAATCTCTCGTCTCTCTCTGTCCTATATTTATATCCACAGAGACAGAAAAAATATGTAGAGCTACGGGTAGAAGCAATTACAAGTCAAGGTTTAGACATTTCAAGATGAACTGCTGTTCATCCCATTGACCTAAACACAATTATCTTATAGCGGCCGACCGTGAAGATGAGCGCAGTTCATCCCTGAGACCGAAAGTTGCTAACCATTATGAGTAAGCATGTGTGCGAGCAAAGCAGAGCATAATTGCAGCTGCATATATTATGAAAAATTCGCACAACGCACTCTAACTGCAACTCCCCAAACCTAAAGCGAAGTGACAGAAGATGAGAATCTCATCACGTCGCAAAGAATCATATGAGGAATAGAATAAAATAGAATAGGACAAGTATGCAAGAAAAATCGCGCAGCAGCCACGGAGCCAGATACAAACATACATTGGAAGCAAGCGCGTTCATTCAAGTCTCGCGACGTGGCTCTACTTACTGCACTCAGAGTCTTTTGTGCGCAATGGTGTATCCAAGTCCAATGTCCTGTTGGGACCAAACCAAAAGGCCAAAGAAGGAGGCCAAAGGCCAGCAAGACCACAGATAACCAGCTGGTCCAGCGTGTTCTCGCAAGGACCCATGCACAGCACACGCCTGGGCGCACAGAAACGTAGTGTGGGTAGGAAACGCACGCGAATCATACAATCTCAAAGGCAGAATTGATCATCATGTCGCATAACTATCTAAATAAATGTACAAAAATTTAGCTGGCGCCGTGGGCTGGCGCAGTCTTTAAAATCCGCTATATTCGGGAGAGAGGCTGAGGGCAGGAGGAGACGATCCGATTGAATCTGGGAAGGCAGAGGTTGCAGTGAGCTGATGACTGTGCCACTGCACGACTCCAGCCTGAGAGTGGCTTACAGAGCAAGCACTCATGTGGGGGAAAAAAAAAAAAAAGAGAGAGAAAAAGAAAGGAAAGGGGAAAGGAGACAAGTGAGAGGAGGGGGAGGGGGAAGAAGGGGGGCCAGAGGGAAAGAGAGGGAGGGAGGAGGGAGGGAGAGCGGCGAGGAAGATGGCAGGAAGCGTCATTGTCCTCCCGGCCACCTCTTTCTTTTAAAGATACTTGTGATTATGTTGCACCCACCAGAATAATCTCCCAATCTCAAGATCAATACATTAATCACCACTGTAAAGTCCTTCTTGCCAGGCATGGTAATATATTCACAGGAACCAGAGATTAAAATGTGAACATCTTAATGGGAGAGTGCATTTTTCAGCCTACCATAATCGTCTTTCTGGACATTTTCCATTATTATTTTCTTGTGTTTTTGATTCATTCACTGTAAGCATACCCATATCTCAATCAGATAGTTATACTAGCCGAATAACATTTTGGGGAGTTTAATCCTGCTATTTCTTTTGTCTGCTCACTCAAAGTAAGATGTGTTTCCTCATGTGTTGTATAATTTTAGATTATAAAGTCATTATGTAGGTATCTGTGGCAATCTCATGTGGCCTTGGTTAGTCTTATTCCACCACAAAGCTTTAGCTATTGCTTCCCCTAAGTGTCCAGGAGTCTACTCACTGACCCAGAGCCATTTCTCATGATATTTTATATTTTACTGGCTAAGAGCTTCTTGTATCATATAGTGGTATAATTTCAAACCCCTAACATGTATGAGGGCAGACTACTGATAATAAATACACAGTGTAGTCTTCCTCCATTCAGGGATCCACCCAAACAAAAATTTTTTTTTTTTTTTTTTGCTTGTTTTCTCCCTCTTTTAGTTCATGTATTTCTTTTCTTGGTTACCCTTTAACTGAGGCATAGCTCTTTAATAATCCAGACATTATAAGAAAATATCTCCTTTTCTACTTACTGCCTTGTTTGGATCTTAAGGCCTCTCCTCTCCTTATGTGTGCATTAAAACTTATACACTTAGATTACTACTGAGATAGGCACACTCCCTAGGGCTTCTGCTGCATTAAGTCATGCTTGGTGCTCTAGCTTTCAGTTCCCAGTTTAGTTTTGGCTACGGGAGATTTTGCTTACATTTATTGTAAGTAAAATATCTAGGAGTTTTCCAGAGTCTTCCCTGCTTAATTCCTCTTTAACACTTCTCAATGGTGATTTCTCTTGGGTGTGTCATACATACATTACCTCTTGAGACTGTTTGTGTTCTTTGTACCTTAGGTAGGCAGGAGCTGATTTTCAGGGGATAATTGGCTCTTGCTTAGGGACACTTTTGGTTTGGTCACAGTTCTAAATGTCAGCATTATATTATTATCAGTAGCACTTCTACTGTGTCAAGATATTACTGATCTTGCCTCTGAGAGACTTTTAGTACTGTGATAGAGAAAATAATACATTATCAAAATGTTTTTTCTGTAATACCAATTATGAATTGTAAAATACTTAAAAGAAGATACTTTTACCTTAATTTTCAACCCAATTACCCTAATTCTTATTTTCCCGTTCTCTTCCTAGGATGTGTGCAGTGTTTGGTGGAATTTATTGTCTTCGCCATTCAGTACAGTGCCTTGTAGTGGACAAAGAATCCAGAAAGTAAGGATGATATAAGTAACCTTCATATATATGTGTATATCCCAAACACAGGTGAAAAATGCTGAAGTCAATTTAAAAAAAAAAGATTCTTCAAAGATCCTCCTTGGTATTAATAACATATCAACCTTGATTAAAAGTAATTTGTGTTTAGGTCCTCCAGAACAAGAATAGTGAGTTCAGAATATAGGAACTAAATTAATTTCCCTGCAATATGCCTATAGCTCCTGGTCATCCAAGCTTGGAAGACAAATCATTTCAGCTGCCAGGGGGTGGGTGATGAGTGATGTTAGTTTTCCTTGTGGCCTTACCTCCTCTAATTGATTTTCATCAGATGACAACAAAGCCCTCTGTTATTGCATTTTTAAAAATGGAATTCCCCTAAAGACTCATCAGATTAATCTCTGCTGATAATGCATGTCACTCCAAGAGAAAAGACTTTAATGAGTTTTTTAGGTAGATTGTTGTCATAAACTATGCTGCCCTCTTATCTGAGGATAAATTTTTTACAATAGTATCAGGCCTATAGGCTGCTTTAGGATTGAAATAAGAATTTACCTGTTCTTTAAAAGACTGTTTACTGTGTATTTTATATTTCAGTTATAATCACTGGTCTGAATTACACTGGATAAAATATTCTCTGATTTCTACCTTCTACACTGAAACTTAAATATTTTAGATCCAGTTTTAGAGACTATCTAAATTGCTATGTGTTTTTCTTTTTTGTTACACGTTCTCAACAATCTACTGACTTGTATTTATTGGATGATTGTTTTTAGGAGTATATAGTTAAATAGTATTTTTGAGGTTATAAAACATTTTAATATTTGAACTGGAAGCTTAAATAATATAAATTTTAAGCTGTTTCTTTCATTTTACAAAAGTTTTGTATCGTCTAAATGGCATACAGTGTCTCTTAACTTCTTATAGACTAATTGTAGTGAAAAAACTAGTATTTTGAGGTATGGTGAAGAAAATCCTCAACTCTAGAAATATGTAATGCTTAGATAGTAAATTTGCTTTAGAAGGGTAATTCTGTAGTATAAGATAACACTGATACATATTTTAAAAGGCTTGTAAAGTACCTTTAGCACTTTTATAGAAGGATAGTACAAAATGAAACGTGATAATTTGCAGAGAAAAATTAATCCCTGAAGACCCAGGATGTTAACATCTTGATTCCTGAAGAACTCTATGGAAGTTAAGGAATAGTTGTCTTTACACTTCTAGAATCATTTTTCTTTGCGCATTCATTTTGCTACAAGAGTATGTTCCCATGACAGAAAGCCAGATAATGAATTGCTTATTTGGTATTTATTTGCTTATATTCTTTTATCCTTGGGGTCCCATTTCAGTCCCATGTGACATGAATAATTTGCATAGCTCATTTTTTTTTTTTTAAAGGTATGCTAGTATAGTAATTGCATTTGTTGAACTAAAGGCTACCTTTTCCTTACCTTTGTCTTAGTTTTTATGACATGCTCTGAACAGAGGAGCTCTTTTTTATGATCCGGTACAGATTCCAGTTGCAACAGATAGCTGAAAGCTAATGGTCTAGAGACCAAATGAATCTCTAGATTGGTGGTTTTCAAACTTTAGTGTGCCTAAAAATTACCAGGTTATCTTGGCAAAAATGCAGATTTCTGTTCTTCACCCTCAGAAAGTGAAATTGGTTAATATGCTTAGGGGGAATGCAGTAATTTGCAGTTTTAAAGAAAACCCCAAGTGAATCTAGTATAGGAAGTCCTTAGATGACACTGAGAAACACTGATCTATAAGGTAAAATTGAGGGTTTAGTTAAGGGTACTGTGTTCCATGGCAAACTGGGATCTCTAGGTCTTAATTCAGTCTAATCCTTATCAATTTGAAACTGCCAGATATACCGACAATCAAATGTGAATTCTAAATAGCAGGCAGACTGCTTCTAAGAATATCTTCATAGAAAGACATGTCTTGTTTTGTAACTTCTAAGGCATGAGTAAAGGTTGGGTAGCCCTTGAATGAGAGGAGATTTGGATTTCCATTAGTGCCATGAATGACAGTAGGCAAACCCTTTCCTCTAGACCAGATCCTTTATCTGTAAGATGAATGACATGGACTCTGCAGTAATCTCTGGATCTCCTTCTAGATTTGACATGCTTTGGTTGAGTTATTTAATGCTCTTAGAAAGTACTTGGCTTTTCCTTAATATTTAGAAATAAATTATCTTAAAATATTTTATATGCTCAAATGTAAGCCATTCTCTCATAATGCATAATCTTCAGTCCCAGTGAGAAATTTAAAAAAAGTTGAACAACTTGAATGTGCCTGCTTTTATGAATGTAAATTAAATAGCACACAGTCTTCTTGTGCTATTAATTATATTGTTATATTACTAGAACCCCAGTTTTCCAGTGAGCATCATCTTCATGTCCTTGTTTTTTTAGAATGCAATGATTTTGAATTCTGTATATGAATCTCATCCTGGAAAATTTATTCTAAGCTATAACTATTTATTTCTGTAACCTGACAGTTTAAAAAACTTGACCTGTAATCATAATACTACTGTTATCTACAATAGTCTCACTATACTAAATTGCTTAAGTGATCTTTAAAAGTTTTAAGAGTCAAGCAATACTTGAATAGTATAAGTTTATATTTATACCTTCAGTAATAATTACCATATTTATATTAAAATTTTCCTCTTTAAACAAATCTGACAAGTCAAATAGTCTTTATAAATACCTAAAGCTAGCATTGGCTGAAGTTGGCTCAAGTCAGTATATCTTTACCAAACACAGCTTTGCCATTCAAAATCAAATATACAAGAGAGATAACCAGTAATAGGAGATATTTTGTTAGGACTTGAAAATAAAGTGAGGGATAGTTTTTTGGGGGAAAAACCTTGATCTTGTATCGGGCAAATGCAACATACATTTCTTTTTAAGGATTCAAGGCTGGCTTAGACAGTTGTTATATTCTAGGTATAATTAGGGTACCAACTAAGGAATCTGCAAAGATTTGCATTTGTCTCCTTATGATTTTAGTTTGCCTTTCTTTTCCTAGTTTTCTATATGTAACACTTGACATCCTCTCTCCTGTTTAGGACAGTTAAGAACTACTTATACTTTGAGTCAAAATTCTGAGTTTATTGTGTGATCCCACAGAGTACATCAGAACCCTCTGTCAGTCTCCACTCCCCACTGTCATGTCCCCTCGTATGATCATTTCATAAGTTCTCTTTAAGAAAAGGAAGGATCTCACTGTTGTATCTCCAGAACCCCCCAGCAGGTTCCTAGTAGCCATTATACTCAATAACTTTGACTTAAATAAATGAATAAAGATTAAAGACTGACTATAACCCTTTTTGTGCTTTTCTTTGCACTGTCCATTTAGGAAAACTGAGAGAGGCATAAGTGATCACAGCATTGAGTTTAATGTGGTGATTATACATCAAAATACTGTACCAACTTTGAGAGAAGAAATAGGGCATTGAGGAGGCACATTAAATCATGGTATATGGAATATGTAACCAAATGCATACATATTTTCAGCCAGATTTTATTTTTCATTTTTGTTTGATTGATTCTGCTTTCTTATTTGAGAGGATGTAGGTACGTATCAGTGGTTCTTTTCTAAACCTTTTCACTAAATTCTAATACTGCATGCTTCCGTTGACTGTTTTTGGAAACACTGAATGTTCTAGTTGAATAGTTTTGTTTTCCTTTGCACCTATGCTGACCAGGTAAAACTCCTGTAAATTAGATCTGGCCATTTAGTAGTATAGTATTTGATATTTTGGTAGGGTAGAAAAGACCTTGGACCAGGACCAGATACATCTATAACCAATAGTTGTAATTAATTACTTCAGCTACTGTTTCCTGTGTACTTCAGCTGTCTCACTTACCTGCTTTCCTACTATGACTCTCTCTTGATGTCAGGAATATATTTTTCTGATGTCAGGAATATATATTTTATGATGTCAGATATATTTTTCTGATGTCTATGCCTTTTTTTTTTTTTTTCTATTTTTGAGACAGAGTCTCGCTCTGTCACCCAGGCTGGAGTGCAGTGGTGCAATCTCAGCTCACTGCAACCTCCCCCTCCCAGGTTCAAGTGATTCTCCTGCCTCAGCCCCCCTAGTAGCTGGGATTACAGGCATATGACCAAGCTTGGCTAATTTTTATATTTTTAGTAGAGACGGGGTTTTGCCATGTTTCCAGGCTGGTGTCAGACTCCTGACCTCAGGTGATCCACTGGCCTCGGCCTCCCAAAGTGCTGGAATTAGAAGCATGAGCCACCATGTCCAGCTATCTATGCCTTCTCTAGATACTTGGAAGTTAGTAATGAATAGAATGTTAGACCAAGTTTGAGGTGACTGATTCTTAACACCATTTGTCATTGCTGAAGCACTGATTTTAGCATGGCCTGCTTGCAAAATGGTAGTGGTCATATTCTAGGTACTTAACATCTGCCAACCCCCATGCTAATTGTTATGGGCATAAAGAAGTGAATAAAACATGGAACCTGCCCTTGTATACAAGGAGACTTCAGTAAAGAGTACAGCTCTAAAGTTAGATAGATTGGATTTGGATCCTGACTTTGTCACTAGCTGTGTGTACTTGAGCAATTGTTTAACTCTCTATGACCCAGTTTCTTTATCTAGAAACTTGGACAATTGACTACACCTACCTCGTAGGGTTATTATAAGTATTAACTAAATAGATAAAGGTTGTAGAACCATTTGTTACACATTTTAAGTGCTAGCTATGTTAGCTAACAGTAACTGTTAATACAGTTGGAGACCTTGGAATCCAGTGGTGGGGGATACCTATTGTGAAGATTCTTCTGTGCTATGCTAGTAAGGAATTTGGACTATAATCAGATAGTTTTAAACAAGATTAGATTTGCTACTTTTAAGTTGGTAATTCTGGCAATGATTTGGAAGCAGCACTGTGATGGAAAGTGATTCTTCACCTCCTAAATCAGAGATTCGGTATCATTTTTTTCCTGTCTCTACACTATTCACAAGTACAGAATACTTCATTAACCATCCATCCATTCACCCATCCATGCAACAAGTATTATTTGTTTTCTTTGTGCCAGGCACTGGGGATACAGCAGAGAATAAGACAATCAGAGTCTTTGTTCTCATGGAACGTAGAGTCTACTGGGGGACATTACAGAACAACTAAATTTATAAGATAATTGCACATTGAGATCTGTTCAGTATGCACATCTGGCCCCCTCCTTATTTAAAAAGCTTCAGCGCCTTTATATAATCTCAGAATAAAGTGTAAGACCTTTTTATATGACACATGATGGGTGAGACTGTAATCTGGCATCTGTTTCCTTGTCTAGGCTCATCTCTCTTCCCTACTTGCCTTTCATTTTATTGTCACATAATACTGAACTGTTCATGGGTCTCTGTACCTGCTCTTCTCTTACTTGCCTTTGTAACCCTGCAAATGCTGCCCTTCTACCTGAGATATCTGTATCCTTAACAGATAATCTGTATCTTGCTTAACTGTATGTTATCCTTTAAAAGCAACAAATGTGTCGCTTCCTCCAAAGAGCATTCCCTGATGCTCCATCCCTCCACCATAAGATGAGTTAGGTATCTCTTCTTGTACTGTGCAATTCCCTATCCTTATCTTTTATCACCGGACTTTGCTATTGTCTTAAAATTGTCTCTGCCTGAATCTTCAAAAAATTGTCTCTGTCTGAATCTTGTCCTTTAGAGCAAAACATTTTTATTCTTACCTCTTAGAACAGCACACATGGTTGTTATGCTATACATTTATGTTAAACAAATGAACTACCAATTTGCTAGCAGGTCATCTTATTAGACATTATAAGAGTCTAAGGCAATATCAGTGGAGATGGAGAGAAGGGGCTAGGTTCAGGAAGTATTTATAAGGTGGAATCAAAATGTTATAGCAGACTAGATATAAGAAGAGATTTGAGGTAGGAGAACTGCTGGTTATGCCATTAGCTGACATAGGGATTCCATGGGAGTGGGAGCAGATGAGGAGCCATGATAAACTCAGTTTGCAGCATGCTAGTTTTGAAAAAACGCTTGGCTAATAATACTGTATTTTTCCTTGAGATTTGGTAAGAGTAGGTTTTAAGTTCCTCATGACACCCACAGATGGTAATGATGGGTGGCGATAGATGTGTTAATTTGAGGTAATCACTACACAGTGAATATCAAGTCATTACATTATGCACCTTGAATATATACAATTTTTGTTTTTCAATTATTTATTAAAAGGGAGCTTGGAGTCTATCCAGAAAGTAATAGATAATAGACAGTTACAAATATGGATACAGAGCTTAGCAGAGGTCAGAGCCTAAAACTATAGATTTGAAGTTATTTGCCTTGTAATGGTGTTTAAAACTATTAGAGTGTTTTTCACCCAAAAAAAATGAGTGGGAAGCATTTGAAATGGTTTTATGAATGAGGTGGCGTTTGAACTAGTGTGTTTGAGAAAGCTCAGAAGGCCATAGTGACTAGGGAAAATTATTTTGTTTTCTTTAGTGATTGAGAATCTTCTAATTTCCTTACTACATTTTCCTTTAAATTATTCCATATGTGATTTCTGCTTTCTTTATCATAAAATTATTTGGTATATTCATTCTGAAGATCACAGAGATTGAATACTCCTTTTAGTGTTATTTTTCTCTTCTGGGCCAAATTCCAGATACTGAGTTTTCATCTTACTATTTTCTTCCTCATCATCATTTTGCTATTTACACACTTATATCATTGAACCAAGAACTGAATAACTTGTAATTTGTTGATTTAGAAAGCTTAGCTCTAGAAATGTTCTCTCTGCCTTCAGTGTTTTGTATGATCAGCTTGGTCATTGTGTCCCTGTAACTGGGGACACCTGTTATGTTCCTCCTCAAATTACTGTCTATGAGGCTCAGCAAGGCCCTCAACTAAATCTTACATGATTTAATCTTTCCTGGCTTCCTCAGGTTTACGTGGGAAGGGTATTTTCATGACTCTGGCAGCACTGTTTAATTTTGCTGCTTTCTGTTAATTAAATGTCATCTGATTTTTTAAAATGAATCTTTATAATACAAAGACTAAATTTAGATCAAAATCCATGTTTTTTTATTCATTGTTTTCTCAGTTAGGCTGAATATATGACAGTAAGTTAAATGTCTGAGAGGAAAACAAATCTTATTACTTGCTTAAACATGTCTTGATTTGAGCAGCTTTGCTTAAGCCTAGAGCCTTAGTACTTCAGCGTGATATTATCAGGTGAGTCATGTGATTATCATCTACCAGACTGAGACTTGGGCATATACGACCATCACCTCAATTTTTGCAGAAACAAGTATTTTATCTGTACCAATAGCCCTTGACTTTTCTTCACCTAGCACAACATAAAAGATACAACAGTAACAGTGGCACGCTTGACAGTGATTCTTTCTTGGGATTTGGGAGCTTATCAGAATCTCCAGGGGTACTTTATAATTTCAGAAAGTCCCCCAGGTGTGATTCTGATTTGCTTCCTTCTCCTCCTTCTCCTCTGAGAATCACCGTTTCATTAGAAGCCTCAGCATAAATAGGCACATGTGTTAGTATCTTCTCCTGGTATGGTTGAGCTCCCTAACTCCCACACCCCCATACTTGCCTTTTGAGTGATCTCCATTAGTTCTTTCTAATATAACTTTTGAAACAAATGTCTGTCAACAAAGGTATGGCTACCACCAAAACAACCTTGTTCATGTTTAGAAGCCTACAAAGCTTGAGGGCCAGGTTTAATAATGCAGTTTAAATGAGAACCCTTTGTAAAGACTTACACTCAGGTCTGAGATTTACATTAACACTGACCCCCTCCCCCAGTTTTATTTTAACATTTTATGATGAACATTTTCAAACTTATACTGACATGGAAGGAATTTCGAGAGAACACCTGTATATCCACCTCCTGGATTCTATAATTAACGTTTTAATAAACTTGTTTAGTCACATATCTACCCAAATATTAACCCCTCTATCCTTGTATCGATTCACCTTTTTGATGCATTTTACTGTAAATTGCAGATGTCAGTTAAATTTCCCCTAAATACTTCAGCTTACATTTTATTAACTGGAGTTCAATATTTGTTTAGTGTTTTTCTTTTGATGTAAATTTACATACTGTGAAGTGTCCAAATTTTCAGTGCTCTTAACTGAGTTTTAACAAATGATAAATCTGTATAACGTAAGCCCCTATCAAGATACAGAAATTTAACACCCCCTTTTTTCTGCCCAGTTATTTCCTCTTGACTTTACATAGTCTCTGAATTAAAGGTAAGAAAAAGGCTTGTCAGTGCTTACAGGACAAATAGAGATTGATGTTTAATGACAGCAGATTTCTCTTCTCAATTGCCTGAAGTACTTTGTGTTTCAAATGGTATATGAGTGTTTTAAAATAGAAGACTGAGTGAATTACTTATATTTTCAGTTTTTAAAACATTATTTTGGAAAATATCAGATGTAAATACTTCAGATGTATTTTGTTAAGTATTTTATAAGGCAAGAGCTGTAGTTCAATGAAATATGAGGAGGTATGTATAGAAACTGAAGTGTAGAAGAGAAAGAAGGTGGAGATGAGATGGAAAAAATCATGTAAATATTACTGTAATATAACAAACGTTATATTTAAAGGTGGTTAATTGGTTAAAATATCTATTAATGTACATGTGACATCATTAGACATCATACTGTATCCTTACAGCAGTGGGATGCCATTTATTCAAAAATACCAGCATATCATAATCTGCCTTTAGGAAATGCAAATTAAATTCCTCTCACTACTGGTCTTGAGTGTTGGTCATTTTATTTTTAATGCCTTTATTCCTGGAAAATATCACTTATATGGCTTATTTTTAGAGTCATTGAACAGATTTTAACTTATACCAGTATATTTCACAGTATGCTTTCGGAATTAATTTGCTTACATTTTATGAGGGACAACACATAAGTTCATTTCTAATAAAATAATTCTATTCCCCAAAGGAGAAGCTGTGACACAAATAAATTGATATTTCCATAATCAAAAGATATAGCAAACACACAGTCATTTGCATATAGTTCCTGAAATATTGTATGCTGGCTTTGTCAGTGCTGGTAAGTCCATTTCAAGGATGTTGCCCTTAGTCCATTAGTTTGGATAATGAGCCCTATAAAGTACATTTATAACTTGTGGCACTGCAAGGAGATGGATTCTAATTTTCATCCTTTTATCTAGACACATTGAAAGAAGGTCAATGGAGGGTTCTATATGATTCATTGTCCCAACACATATCAGATGACAGAGACCTGATAATGTCCATGCATAAGTGTTTTCCTTATTTGGAAACAGCACTTCAAAGAAATCTTTCTATGATCATCCTTTGAAGTAAAGTGGAAACAGATATTAAAAGAAGCTCTATCACATTTTTCTGTTTCAAACATTATCCAACACGTGATCATATAGCTATTCTTGGACAAAAGAGAAACAACGTTTAACAGAAAAATAAAAACCCTGTGAAAGGCCTTTACAGGCTGTGAATGGTATAACAAGGTATTTAATCAATTTTTCTCTCTTTCTTTTCTTAGAACTGTGAAGGGGGATGGGGAGAAAGCCTGTTTTCTAAACAAAGGAAATGCTTCTATGTTCCTAAATATTAGGAAACTTACGGTTTACTATAATTCTTATCCTGACTTTATTCTTATTAATGGCATTCAAAATACATGTTTAAGTTGTATTCCATGTTCATTTTGTACTTCAAAAGCCCTCCAAACAGCAACAAGAATATATATTCTGTCATTTAGTGTCAGTTTTGTGTCAGAAAACGTGGAATTGTAGGCAAGTTTTAAATCTTGTCTTCACAAGAAATTCATTTTAGATTCAAAATTGGTAGCTGATTATGTTGTTTTTCTCAATTATTTAATTATTAATATGAACTTTTATGGTATGCTTATCTTCTTTATAGATGTAAAGCAATTATAGATCAGTTTGGTCAGAGAATTATCTCTGAGCATTTCCTCGTGGAGGACAGTTACTTTTCTGAGAACATGTGCTCACGTGTGCAATACAGGTAAGGCCCCCTCCACCCATTAGCAAGTGAAGGTAATTTTACTGACATTTCTGTATAATTCTGTTCTTCAGGTAACTTGCAAATAAATGCCAAACCAAAGATATATTCAATATTTTACTTGACTTACAGGGTCTGGTATTAGGGGAGCCTAGCATAATTTCAACTCCTTTACTTCAGCTGGGGTTTGTCTGTAGGTCAGGCATTCTTCTTTCATGAGCCAAGAAAAGATTAAAGCCGAACTTGACTTGGTTTGGGGAGGTGACACTTTTATCCTGACTTAAATCTTTGAAACGTGCCTTCTGGTGGTTATATAAACGGAACTTATCCATGGAATCAGAATTACTGCTTCACTGTTTTATGCATTACAGGCAGATCTCCAGGGCAGTGCTGATTACAGATAGATCTGTCCTAAAAACAGATTCAGATCAACAGGTAAATTCAGTCCTATATATTTTTAATAAAAGTTGTATATATTAAGATGTTTTGGTATATATATACATGGTGAACTAATCACTGCAGTCAAGCTAATTAACATATCTCTTTACATAGTTACCTTTCTTGTGGTGAGAACACTTAAGATCTACTTTCAGCAAATTTTAAATATACAATACCATATTAACTGTAGTCTTGTGCTGTACATTAGATCTCTAAAAGTTATTCTTTTTGTGTAACTGAAAGTTTGTACCCTTTGACCAACGACTCCCCATTTTGTCTAACTCCTGGCAAGCACCGTTTTATTCTCTGCTTCTATGACTTTGAAGTTTTTTGTATTTCACATATAAATGCAATAATGCAGTATTTTCCTTTTTGTGTCTGGCTCATTTCACTTAGCATAATATCCTCCAGGTTCATCTATGTTCTTGCAAATGGTAGGGCTTTCTTCTTTAAAGATTGAATAATATTCCATTGTTTACACGTACACACACCCCATTTTTAAAAAACCCATTCTTCCATTGATGGACACTTAGGTTGTTTCCAAATCTTGGCTGCAACGAATACTGCTGCATTGAACATGGGAGTGCAGACATTTCTTTGAGATACTGATGGATGTATACCCAGAAGCTGGATTGGTGGATCATAGGATAATTCTATTTTTAATTTTTTTGTGGAACCTCCATACTGTTTTCCATAATGTTTGTATAGATTTGCATTCCAACCAACAGCATACAAGGGTCTGCTTTTTTCTACATCCTCGTCAACACTTGTTGTCTCTTGTCTTGTTGATAATAGCCATCCTGAAAGGTGTGAAATGATACCTCATTGAGTCCTGTGCTTTCTAATAACATTGTTACTAATTTAATCTACGTAGTAATATGTATAAATCAATATTGGCAAAATACAGCGTATTAAGCTATATGTACTAAAGTTTGAATATCCCTTCTCCTAAATGCTTGGGGTCAGAAGTGCTTGGATTTTAGGGTTTTTTTGGGGGGCTTTAGAACATTTTGGATTTCAGATTTTTGGATTAGGGATACTCGTAGTATTTTTTATATGTGTTTTTAAAAAATACACGATGGCAATAATGTAATGGCATTGGTTTCTTAAGGATTTCCATCCAATGGAACAAATAGTTGCATCTTATATAATAGATTTATTTTAGGAAAATCAGACTAAATACTAGATTTTGACAATTATTTCTGGGAAGTTGAAAATACATTGTTATGGGAAGAAAAAGAGAATCCCCAGATAATACATTTAAAAATCTGGGAGGAAAAGACAGTAGCCAACCCTATGGCAATGATTGTAAGTCCACTGTTAGGCCTGGTGTGAATGAATTTCCACACATATCCCCAGTTATGGTGTTTCCTTACTACCATTATTCATTTCGGTACTCTCTTCTTTCTCCTTACCCCCAGTTCCATAGAGGAATGGCATTATGCCTCTAATTTTTCCTCAGTCAGACCTCTTAAATTCCAGGGTACCCAGTTCTCCTTCTGACCATATTTTATAGTTACTGATAAAATCACCTTACTCAGTAGATGTGATTGTTGGTTCTGTATGCCGCTGCTAAAAGTAGGCTCCTATAGTTCCTTAAGTTGAAAGCTGCTTCTTATATGAAAGAAGTGTGTAAGTGGATAAAGTCAATTCATTTGTCCCAATTTTTATTGGTAATAAATGAACATTATATACAAAAAACTCCCCCAAATATACTTGTTACATGTGTAAGTATAAATATTTTCATTAAGCCATTCAGCAAACAATGAGTGCCTTTTACTTTCCAGCCAGTGTTGCTGCGTTCTAAGGAGACAGTGGTCACTATGATAGCATCTCTGCTCTCAAATAGCTTACAGTCTGGAGAATACGGATACTGATAAGTATTAACTGTAATTCAGTGTGACAAGTGTGAGCATGGGCGTGTAGAAGAAATAGTACAGCAGCTATTATATTACTTACTCCACTCTCCTACAATTACTGGTTTATTATCTGTATCTCCCAGTAAGCTATGAGGTTTGTGAGTGGATCAAAGAGTGCCAGGGAGGCAGAAGAGTGAAGAGAGCAAACAGAGATAACTCTTGGAGGAAGCTAAGCTGTGAAGAGAGTAAGAGAGAGGAACTGGTCTTTGAAGAGGGACATGGAGATGAAGAGGGTGTTTCTTTACTTTAAAAGATTAGTGTATATATTTCAGCTGATGGGATGAAGCCAGTAGAGAGGGAGAGGTTGAAGATACCGAAGTAAGGAGGAGGATAATTGATGGATCAAGGTCCAGGCAAAGGCTGGGGAAGCTAAAATTCAGAGAACAGGCAGAAATGTTGCCCTTGGATGGAATGGGAGACACGTTGAAACCAGAGGATTAATACATTTGTAGATTTGGGAATTCCCATCTTATGGGTTACATTTATTCTTTAAATTATAAACAAAGTGAGGCCATCTTTTGAGAGTGGGGTGTGCAAATGTGGATAGGTAGAAGCTCAAGGAAAGATGTAAAATAATCATCATAAGGAGTCGGAGAGTGTACTGTCTCATGGTCAAATTGCTGAGCAATGTTAATGGCCCAGTTGAGTCTGAAGGTCATGGATCTATAGTGGCATTAATCTGCCCCTATCCTTCCAACTCTTTCATTCTCTTACCTCCCCCCGCTCCCCAGTCTGTTAAGAGATGTACAATTCCTCATTCCCTCTGTTTCTTTTCAGTTTATCTCCCTTCTGCCCTTTTCCTTTTCCCTATGCTAGACCCCATAGTAAATCTTCTGAATTGCTCTTTGTCTGACACTCCCAGTATCCATGTTGTCATGTCCTTCCACTACACCCACAGAGGAAGATCCCATCCCTGAGTCAGGCTATAATCTTCACCTGGATCACTGATGGCTGCTTAAGAAAACCGTACAACCAGACAGACTAACCATGCCACAGATGCAAGAGTGCCAGCGTTATTCAGCTGGACCTTCAGCACACATCACCAGTCAGTTCTTCCACTGGCCTGACATCTCCCTTTTCCTTTTCCCTCAGTGCCTAATGCAGGTCTTCATGATTTTACCCACCCTGCTTATCCCTTGCTCCTCTCACCCCGCTGCCCCTCCCCCGACCTTGCTTCACTGAAAATAGTGAGACTATCCACCACGCACAGTAGTCTTTGACTTCCTGTCCCACCACCACGTGTGTACTTTAACTCACGAATGAATCAGGAGGCTCCCCTCCTTGTTCAAAGCCAGCCCCTTTGACAAGTGCCCTTGACACACACACACACACACACACACACACACACACACACACACACCCCACCCTTTATTGCCTGCTCTCTCTCCTGTATCTTCAGCGTCTCCCCACTGTTGCTGGCACCATTTTGTTTTTGAACAGACATACACACACATACACACACACACACACACAAGCAAGCATTTTCTATTTCATATATGCAAATATATATATATACACACACACACACACACACACACACACTAGCATTTTCTGTTCTAAAAATAAAAAAGGAACCACTCCCTTGATTCTGTCCCCATCTCTAGCTATCTTCCCTCTTATCAACATTTTCAAGACAATGTCTATACTTGCTGCCACCAGTTCCTTACCTCCCATTCATTTCTATGACACTGCAACCTGGTTTCTATCCTCATATTTCTGCCACATTTTTTTTCTTGCTAAATTCATTAATAATTTCACAGAAGTCAGAGCTAGGGGATATTTTTTGGTTCTTGTCTACCGGGACTTTTGACAATGTTATTATTCCATTTCCCTTGAAAGTCTGTACTCTTGGCTTCCATGAAACTCTGCTCTTGTGGTTCCCCTCATGACTCTGTTTCCTCTCTACTTCGTTAGTGGGCCCTTGTTCCTTTACCCAGTCCTTAAATATCAGGGCTCCTCAGTGTTTTTCTCTCAGCCCACAGTTGATTTTGCTGTGGGCATACTCACTAGATGACTCTGTGTAGTCTCATGATATCAATTCTGCATAAATCTTGGTGACAGACACTTCTATATCTCCCAGGAGTGTCTGGCCCACAAGCTTCCTGCTGGACGTCTGTCAAATGGAACACACTCAAAACTTAACTCACCATCTTCCCTCTGCAAATTGCTCCTCATCCAGTGTTCCCTACTTCTGGGAATAGTTCTGACATCCTTTCAATGGCAACTTCTTCCTTCCCTCTCTGACATCTCATCAACTTCACGTCCTTCAATGTACTTTCTAAAAGTTGCTTTGATCTGCCTTTTCTCACTGTTCCAGTTACGGGACTCATCATCTCTGACTCGTAATTGGTCATCCTTCTCTCATCTTGTCTACTTCAAATCTGCCTTCTACATATCCTTCAGAGTGATCAGTCTAAAGTGTGTGTCCTGCTTGTCTTTCTTTGTTTCCTGTAGAGAGTTTTCTTCCTTCATCTTCTCCGCCCCCCCTTTTCTTTTTTTTTTTTTTGAGTTGTACAGTATAGATAGAATGATGAGACTTAGAGGGAAGAATAGGTGTGGGTCCAGGTAAATTTTATGGTATTAGAGGGTTGAGGGAGTTCTTTTTTGATGGTTTTTATCATCTCTATGAGGTTTAAGACAGTTAACTTCTCAGAGTTCAGGTGACGGAGGTACTGTAGTAGGAGGTTACTAATTGCATCTCAGTTAAAAAAAAAAAAAAAGTGATAGTTGTAGAAATCAAAAGAAGTCCTTACATGTTATTGCACTCATTAAGATACTTTTCCAATTATGGTCATGTTTTTAGTTATACTCATTTAACTGTTGTTCAACATTCAATGTCTTAGTGGCTACTATCTCTTTAATGCCAAAGCGCATTTCCTATCATGAACAAAGGGAGTTGAGAGGAACATGGAGAAATAAGTTTTTGAGACATTTTGAGGCCAGAAATGTACATAAAAGTAGGATAGTCATGGTTATCAAAATAATTTCTCTTGTAAAATTTGTTTTAGGTGTTTCCTCTTTGGGCCATCACTGTGACATTCTCAGTCAAAATGTAGCATAGCACTTATAGGGCAAAGTGCAAATGCACTTTTCCCTTTTGATAAGTATTTTCTGTGTGAGAGGATAAAATTTCCTGAGATTGAAGATTAGATTGAGGATTAGTATTGAAACTTTAGGATCTACAAAGAAACATTGACCTGGGCCGGGCGCAGTGGCTCATGTCTATAATCCCAGTACTTTGGGAAGCCAAGGTAGCTGGATTGCTTGAGGCCATGAGTTCGAGATCAGCCTGGCCAACATGGTGAAACCCCCATCTCTACAAAAAATACACACACACACACACACAAAAAAAAAATATATATATATATATGGCCAGGTGTGGTAATGCATGCCTGTAATCCTAGCTACTTGGGAGGCGGAGGCACGAGAATCATTTGAATCCAGGAGGCGGGGGTTGCAGTGAGCCAAGATTGCACCACTGTACACCAGCCTGGGCAACAGAGTTGAGACTCCATCTCAAAAAAAAAAAAAAAAGAAAGAAACATTGACCTGAAGATCATTTAAAGTTTTTAAATATAAAACCATCTAGCATATCATTAATGCCTAGGATAGTATACTACATATCAATAAATAGTACTTAAGAATAATTTTACATTTTACTTTTGATTCTGAATTTCTACTTTTATTAATGGAGTGTTTAAAAATTATTTGTTTTCAAATGTTTTGATATATATTTAGTTTGCTTGCTTCAATATGATTGGAATGGGTAACATCTGTAATTATTAGTGCTAGTTGCTGTTTTTAGCCATTATGAGTAATCAAGATTGATTTAATATGGTCTAATTTCAAACAGCAAAGTACACATATTTCAGAACTAAGAAGTCCTAATTGTATCCTTTGAAAATACAAATTGAATATCCCTTATCTGAAATGCTTGAAACCAGAAGTGTTTGGGATTTCAGATGTTTTCAGATTTTGGAGTGTGCCAGTTGAATGTCCCTAATTTGAAAATCTGAAATCCAACATGCTCCAATGAGCAACATGCTCCAATGAACATCTCCTTAGAGCATCATGTCGGCAGTAAATTTTGGATTTTGGAGTATTTTGGAATTTAGATAATGGTTATTCAACCTATAGTAAGTTTATAGTAAGAAACCTATAGTAAGTAAGGATTAAATAAATATTAAATGTATTTAAAATAGTTGTTATCTATGAGAATTATGAAAAGATACATAAATATGTTTCAAATTCTGTTCCAAAATTAAATCCTTACAAGCCATATTTTTTTCAGACATCAAGAGATGTTTGAAAAAGATACTCAGTTTAGAAGTTAATAGCATTTTAATGTTAGAAGAATGAAAATGAGATCTAACAGCTGTGTCTGATACTTTATTTTTGCTTTTTAGATTTCCATTTTGACAGTGCCAGCAGAGGAACCAGGAACGTTTGCTGTTCGGGTCATTGAGTTATGTTCTTCAACGATGACATGCATGAAGGGCACCTGTAAGCATAGTGGAGTGGTTATTTGTATTTTGCGTTTGTTTAGGGGGTAAAGGGAGCAGCTATTACAGTTGTGAAGGTGCTATTTACAGAGATTTTCTCGCTTTTTTATTATTCACAGTTTTTGTTTATACAAAATATGGTTATAGAGTAAGTCATTTCATACCATCCCCTTACCTGTAAACATTTCAGTGGCTAAATCTTCACAGGCTTAATGTTTTAGTTCTCCAGTGAAGGAATTTTATGACTTTCAATTCTAACTTTTATTTAGCTTATTGGAAACCTGGTTGCATAACATTTTTTTTTTTTTTACTGCTAATTGTTTTTTTCTTTACTTTCTGTCTTAGTCCATGTGAGCTGCTATGAAAAAATACATTAGACTGGGTAACTTATAAACAATAGAAATTTATTGCTCACAATTGTAGAGGCTGGAAAGTCCAAAATCAAGGTGCCAGCCGATTCAGTGTCTGATGAGGACCTGTTCCTCATAAGTGGCACCTTCTGTGTGTCCTCATATGGGCAAGGGAGTAAAAAAACTTCCTTGAAGCCTTTTGTAAGAACACTAATCTCATTTATGAGGGCAGAGCTCTTGTGACCTAACCATCTTCCAAAGGCCCTACCTTTTAATACTTTTGCATTGTGGGCCTACTTGAGGTATTAAGAGGTAATACTTTTGCATTGCATATGTCAACATATGAATTGTGGGGAGACACAAATATACAAACCATAGCACCTTGAATTCTAAATTCTAAATCCAATTACTGAACTTTTTTCATGTATAAATTTTCCATTTATTTTGTTTTTTTATGAGACTAAAGTTAAGGACTACTTTACCTGCTCTTTCACTTATGTGTTTCAAAATTTTTGTTTCCAGCAGCATTAGATATCATGCATTCTACAACATATTTCTTGATATTTCAGTAAATAGGAGTCAATAAGTATACATTATACATCACTGTGCCTAGACCTAAGCTATGTACTATAAGTATTAGAAGCAGAAGGTGAGATGCCTGATTTGAAATGTTCGTAATTGTTCTTACTGCTCACCTAATGGAACAAGACAATTTATTTATTAACTGAGTACGACATAATGTGCTAGGCATTTCATGGTACGTAAAGATGAGTAAGATAACCCCTGACCATAGGGGATTCACAGTCTAGTTGAACAGATAAAACAAGCACAAAAGTAGCTGGAAGACGCAAAATATGAGAGGTACCAACAAACAGTGTACTCTGGGGATTCATAGGAGGGAGACATAATATCATTAACTAGAAAAATAGTTTTTGATCCTGTAAACGTGTTGCTCAGATTGTTACGTGAATTCTGAGAAGCAAAAAAAACTAATATGGTTTTGCGTGGTCACAAGGAAAACTTCAGTGGGGAAATGTAGAGCTACTACTTAAAAATGGAAAGTCTAATGCCAGCAGAGAGGGTTAAGAAAACTTTTCAACATTGCTATAATCCTAAACTTCCTTTGGAAAAGTAGCTCAGAGGACCATTTCTCCTTTTATAGTGTATTAGTCGGTTTTCATGCTGTTAATAAAGACATACCCGAAATTCGGAAGGAAAAGAGGTTTAATTGGAATCACAGTTCCACATGGCTAGGGAGGTCTCAGAATCATGGCAGGAGGCAAAAGGCACTTCTTAACATGGCGGTGGCAAGAAAAAAATGAGGAAAAAACAAAAGCGGAAACCCCTGATAAACCCATCAGATCTCGTAAGACTTATTCACTCTCATGAGAAGAGCACGAGAAAGACCAGCCCCCATGATTCAGTTACCTCCCCCCGGGTCCCTCCCACAAGACGTGGGAATTCTGGGAGATACAATTCAAGTTGAGATTTCAGTGGGGACACAGCCAAACCATATCATTCCACCTCCGGCCCCTCCGAATCTCATGTCCTCATATTTCAAAAGCAATCATGCCTTCCCAAGAGTCCCGCAAAGTCTTATTTCAGCATTAACCCAAAAGTCCACAGTCCAAAGTCTCATCTGAAACAAGGCAAGTCCTATCTGCCAATGAGCCTGTAAAATCAAAAGCAAGTTAGTTAACTTCCTAGATACAATGGAGGTCTAGGTATTGGGTAAATACAGCCATTCCAAATAGGAGAAATTGGCCAAAACAAAGGGTTTACAGGCCCCATGCAAGTCCAAAATCCAGCGGGGCAGTCACATTTTAAAGCTCCAAAATGATCTCCTTTGACTCCAGGTCTCTCACATCCAGGTCACACTGATGCAAGAGGAAGGTTCCCTGGTCTTAGGCAGCTCTGCCTCTGTGGCTTTGCAGGGTATAGCCTGCCTCCTGGCTGCTTTCACAGGCTGGTGTTGAGTGTCTGCAACTTTTCCTGATGCAACCAGTTGGTGAATCTGTCATCATTCTGGGATCTGGAGGACAGTGGCCCTCTTCTCACAGTTCCACTAGGCAGTGCCAGAATAGAGACTCTGTATGGGGGCTCCAACCCTACATTTCCCTTCCACAGTGCCTTAACAGAGGTTCTCCATGGGGACCCCACCCCTCCAGCAGCCTTTTGCCTGGGCATCCAGGCATTTCCATACATCTTCTGAAATCGAGGTAGAGGTTCCCAAACCCCAGTTCTTGACTTCTATGCACCACAGGGTCAACACCACATGGAAGTTGCCAAGGCTTGGGGCTTGCACCCTCTGAAGCCACAGCCTGAGCTCTACGTTGGGCCCTTTCAGCCACTGCTGGAGTGACTGGGACACAGGACACCAAGTTCCTAGGCTGCACACAATATGCGGGGGGCGGCCCATGAAACCACTTTTTCCTCCTGGGCCTCTAGGCCTATGATGAGAGAGATTGCAGTGAAGGTCTCTGACGTGGCCTGGAGACATTTTCCTCATGGTCTTGGTGATTAACATTAGGTTCCTCGCTACTTATGCAAATTTCTGCAACAGGCTTGAATTTCTCTTCGAAAAATGTGTTTTTCTTTTCTACTGCATCGTCAAGCTGCAAATTTTGTGAACGTTTATGCTCTGTTTCCCTTTTAAAATGGAATGCTTTTAACAGCACCCAAGTCACCTTTTGAATGCTTTGCTGCTTAGAAATTTCTTCCACCAGATACCTTAAATAATCTCTCTCAAGTTCAAAGTTCCACAGATCTCTAGGGTAGGGCCAAAGTGCCACCAGTCTCTTTGCTAAAACATAACAAGAATCACCTTTACTCCAGTTCCCAACAAGTTCCTCAGCTCCATCTGAGACCACCTCAGCTTGGACCTTATTGTTCATATCACTATCAGAATTTTTATCAGTGCCATTCAACAGGTCTCTAGGAGGTTCCAAACTTTCCCACATTTTCTTGTCTTCTTCTGAGCCCTCCAAATCATTCCATCCTCTGCCTGTTAACCAGTTCCAAAGTCACTTTTACATTTTCGGGTATCTTTTCAACAATGCCCCACTCTACTGGGACCAATTTACTGTGTTGGTCTGTTTTCATGCTGCTGATAAAGACATACCTGAAACTGGGAAGAAAGAGGTTTAATTGGACTTACAGTTCCATAGGCTGAGGATGCTTCAGAATCATGGCAGGAGGCAAAAGGCACTTCTTACATGGCAGCAGCAAGAGAAAAATGAGGAAGAAGCAAAAGCAGAAACCCCTGATAAACCCATCAGATCTCATGAGACTTACTCACTATCATGAGAATAGCATGGGAAAGACCAGCCCCCCTGATTCAGTTACCTTCCACTGGGTCCTTCCCAAAACACGTGGGAATTCTGGGAGATACAATTCAAGTTGAGATTTGGCTGTGGACACAGCCAAACCATATCATATAGTGATTTGTGCTACAGGAAAATCTTAACCATGACGGTTGTTATTTTCTATTATTACTTTAACTATTTTTCATATCTTTTTATCTGTGTTAGCTTCTTAGATATAAAATAAAACTGTACCTGTTATGATTTTTGTAATTTGTATTTATTTTATGTTTGTGAATATACTTTTTCAAATTTCCATTTTTAGTTTAGATTCACGGAGTATATGCACAGATTTATTACAAGGGTATATCGCATGATGCTGAGGTTTGGTCTTCTGTTTATCCTGTCACTCAGATAGTGAACATAGTACCCAATAGGAAGTTTTTCAGCCATTTCTTCCCTCCCTTCCTCCTTTTGGAGTCTTCAGTGTCTGTTGTTCCCATCTTTATGTCCATGTGTACCCCAGATTTAGCTCCCACTTATAAGTGATTTCATGTAATATTTGGATTTCTATTTCTGTGTTAATTCACTTAGGATAATGGCCTCCAGCTGCAGCTGCATCCATGTTGCTGCAAATGACATGATTTTGTTTGTTTTTTATGACTGCATAGTATCCCATGCTGTATATGTACCACGTTTTTTTAATCCAGTCCACTGTTGATTGGCAGCTAGGTTCCATGTCTTTGCTCGTGAATAGTGCTGTGATGAACATGGGAGTGCATTTTTTTTTTCTTTGTGCAATGATTTATTTTCTTTTGGTTATATACCCAGCAATGGGATTGCTTGGTTGAATGGTAGCTCTGTTCTAAGTTTTTAGAGAAATCTCCAAACTGCTTTCCACAGTGGCTGAGCTAATTCACATTCCTGCCAACAGTGTATAAGCATTCCCTTTTCTCTGCAGCCTGGACAGCATCTGGTATTTTTTGAATTATTAATAATAGCCATTCTGACTAGGGTGAGATGGTGTCTGTTTGTAGTTTGATTTGCATTTCTCTGATTAGTGATGTTGAGCATTTTTTCATATGTTTGTTGGCCACTTATATCTCTTCTTTTGAGAAGCGTCTGTTCAAATCCGTTGCGTACTTTTTAATGGGATGGTTTTATTCTTGTTGATTTAAGTTTTTTATAGATTTTGGATATAAGCTGTTTGTTGGATGCATAGTTTTTGAGTATTCTCTCCCATTCTATAGTTTATTTGTTTACTCTTTTGATAGTTTCTTTTGTTGTGTACACGCTTTTTAGTTTAATTAGGTCCCATTTGTCAATTTTTGTTTTTGTTGCAATTGCTT